GAAGAAGCAAAATAGGACAAATATAACTTAGTCACATTTACATATTGAGGTGGCTGGAAATGGTTTAGTTAACGACAGCGTGGACGAGTGGTCAGCGCGGGCACGTTAAGCGGGCACGCGTGCAAAACGTCTGCGCATGCGCAAGGTCTCTATTTTCAATAATTAAAATTTGCAAAATCTTCCCCATTTAAATTGAAAAACATTTAGGAATGTTTGATATGTTTAATGGTTTGCAGCCGGTTCTAGTATTAAGCACAACAAAAAATTACTTAAACTAACTTAACTAACTAACTGGTAAAGTCGTCCAGTACAAGGTTTTTCCGTCCTTGTTTTTCCACTTAGCATGCATTGGTCGTTTTCGTTGTTCGCATTGACCGAGCTCAGCGACATGATGACCAAAACAGCAACAATGGCTACGGCGAAGTGCTGCGAGAGCGAGCGTGGACTTTCAAACATGATTTTCGCCTTTGGTGCAAGGAGGAAAGTATGTGGTGCAAAAGAGAGAAACTAAAGCAATTAATAAACTTTGTGTTCGTGAAATTCTACGCTTATCTTTTGTGTGTGGAACTTACTTTTTTGAATTTCGCGGCCGGAATCTAGTTTGTTTTGGTATCGCGTATAATTTCGAACGCATGCGCACTGCGTTTTTCACGCGTGTCGGACTCGCAATCCGGCGGTCCCGGGTTCGAGTCCCACTGTGGCCACTTGCTGGATTTGTTCTCGGTCGTACCGAGTTCAAATTCTCGGCCATGCTTGTAAATAGCCAACTGGTTGCCTCCTTCCAGTTGGGGTTTTTAGTTCCGTTATGTTATATTTAAAATTATTTGTTTCTAAGTATTTGAATTGAGTGCCTGTAAACTAGCTGGATAAGCTATGTGCACTTTCCATTATAAACAAGCCTTTTCATTTGCGGTTACTTAAGCAATAGACCACACCTTCTATGGGTTTACCGGCGTGATAACCCACTTGGGATGTTGGGAGAACACGAGAAAAGCTTGTAAAACACGAGCCGAAGGCCCCACGGTTCTCCAAATGCTGACCCGATTTCAGACCATAAAATTTAATTTCCCCCACCCGTTTTCACACCAGACCGCTAAATCCATACCCGTTTTTAGACCTGGCCATTAGGCAGAAATTATGTTATCATTACTTAGATTAGAGCGCAAAAAAAAAATTCTTCAAATCCATTTCGAATTCGCATATTTTTCTTTCTTTCTTACTCTTTGGAATTGAAACGATAAAGATATCTTACAATCCCGTAGTTCCCTCAAAAACCATACCCGATTCCAGACCAAAATGGAGAAAGCGTATACACGTATACCCGTTTTCAGACCAAAACCGCACAAAAACCCTNCTCAGCGACATGATGACCAAAACAGCAACAATGGCTACGGCGAAGTGCTGCCAGAGCGAGCGTGGACTTTCAAACATGATTTTCGCCTTTGGTGCAAGGAGGAAAGTATGTGGTGCAAAAGAGAGAAACTAAAGCAATTAATAAACTTTGTGTTCGTGAAATTCTACGCTTATCTTTTGTGTGTGGAACTTACTTTTTTGAATTTCGCGGCCGGAATCTAGTTTGTTTTGGTATCGCGTATAATTTTGAACGCATGCGCACTGCGTTTTTCACGCGTGTCGGACTCGCAATCCGGCGGTCCCGGGTTCGAGTCCCACTGTGGCCACTTGCTGGATTTGTTCTCGGTCGTACCGAGTTCAAATTCTCGGCCATGCTTGTAAATAGCCAACTGGTTGCCTCCTTCCAGTTGGGGTTTTTAGTTCCGTTATGTTATATTTAAAATTATTTGTTTCTAAGTATTTGAATTGAGTGCCTGTAAACTAGCTGGATAAGCTATGTGCACTTTCCATTATAAACAAGCCTTTTCATTTGCGGTTACTTAAGCAATAGACCACACCTTCTATGGGTTTACCGGCGTGATAACCCACTTGGGATGTTGGGAGAACACGAGAAAAGCTTGTAAAACACGAGCCGAAGGCCCCACGGTTCTCCAAATGCTGACCCGATTTCAGACCATAAAATTTAATTTCCCCCACCCGTTTTCACACCAGACCGCTAAATCCATACCCGTTTTTAGACCTGGCCATTAGGCAGAAATTATGTTATCATTACTTAGATTAGAGCGCAAAAAAAAAATTCTTCAAATCCATTTCGAATTCGCATATTTTTCTTTCTTTCTTACTCTTTGGAATTGAAACGATAAAGATATCTTACAATCCCGTAGTTCCCTCAAAAACCATACCCGATTCCAGACCAAAATGGAGAAAGCGTATACACGTATACCCGTTTTCAGACCAAAACCGCACAAAAACCCTACCCGATGGGGCGGCACGTACCTATATGGCTTATATAAGGGAGTACCCCCTCCCCCCCCCCCCCCCCCCCCCCGGCCCACCCCCCTTTAACAAAAAAACAGTTAAAAAATTTTTTTTTTTTAAAACTTTTTCCATTTTTTTTACTTACCTCTCATTGGTTTTTCACTTACTT